AGTGTTGGAAGACACCAAGAGCTACCCACACTGGAGGAATGACAGGCTGAAAAGCATTGATGGACTACCATGGGAGTCAGGCGAAATGACTGGCCAGAATCCGTGACCAGGAGGAAGAGTCGGTGAAGAAGATTGGAAGAAGTTTAAGGATTATTTACGAAATATTGCAAAATTAATGAATGTTAGAGTGATGTTGGATTGAAGCTAAGTGGCTACAAGATGTAAAGGTTGTAAAGTCAAAAATATATCAAGATTAAGGATTAGGATTAAAGGTTAAAAGAACGGAAAAATTGGTTCTTAATAGGTAAAAACTTAATGTTATAATATATTTAGGATTAAGGATTGGGACTAAAAGGAGGAGAGAAATTGCTGGACTAACAAACGATGGGAAGCTACAAAGGAAGTATGAGAGGAGTCAGAACTAGTAAATGTAAAAGGGTATGAAAGACAGGGTATTTTTTAATTGTTTTTCTTGCTATATATTTTGTATTGTATTTTCCTTTATTCTTAAATTTTCCTTTTTATTAATGTGATTCCTTTTCTGTGAAATAATGGAAATATTATTTTTAAAAGAGAAACTAACAACTGTAAACGAGTATGACGTAAAAGCTAAAGCAAGAAGCCAGAGCAGATTTTTCACGACATGAAAAGAATCTTGAATTTAAACATTTCAAGTCATATTTGTGTTAAGCACTGACAGAAAATGCAGAAATTGTGTGTAATGGACAAAGTCTTTACAGCACCATCTTTCACTCCATATGCACAGAAAGAAGATGAATAAGCACGATTGGAGCTTACTTCAATTCATATAATGTTTACAGGTATGCACCAGAATCACGTAAAGCAAAAGTGTTTTAATTTCATCTACATAAAAGAGATTAAATATGGCTATTTCAAATTGAATTGTTTTAGAATTAGAGCACATTCACCAAAAATCACTGAGTATTTTATTTATTAGCCCAAATCAAAACAATAGGCATTTGAATTCCATCTCAAGAAGAGGACAGGCTACGCTGATGTTCATTCACAACCTAACCCTAACCTAGCAACAGTATATAAACCTAAATAAAAACTAGACAAATGTTCCTGTAACTAATAGAAAGAAGAATCTTGAATTTCACATTTCAAGTTATGTTCTTTGGTGTTAATGCACATTGACAAATCTTAAGTGTGTGTAATGAGACAAAATGTAACACAGCACGTGTCAAGGCTGCCTCAAGTCTTAGCTCACAAAAGACCAACGCCTACGTCTTCTTGTATACAAAGGTGTTTATTGCAGTTCATGGTTTGCTTGACATCCTAGGCGCGCAGCCTTACGTCTCTTACGCTAGACCGCCGAAGTCCCCTCTGAGTCAGTCCCCCTCTGCACCAATTAAAGAGACTTGCGCTGCCCACCAAGTGCTCACCTTCCTTTTCCGCAGGGTCCTTCTGCCCCTGGGGTTGCGCCCTTCTGGATTCCTCTGACGCTGAATCCCCAGACTGCTCTTCCCCTCCTGCGGGCTTTGGGACCTGGCCCCTCCTCCGGGCTCCCTGCACTTCCGCGCGCCTCTACATTTGAACTAGGCGCGCGCGCCAAACCTCTAACTTTCCTTTTGACAGTTACACTACTCCCTTCACTGCTCCTCCTTCCGGGAGGGCGGCTTGCTCTGACCCCCTCCTTTCTCTGCTGCTGGAGCTGCTTCCTCTGACACACTGGAAACTCCACCCCTTCGCTGCACTTTGGTGGGGAGGCTGGTCCTGACGCCCAGCTGCCACTTTGGGATCCTCCGCTGGCACCCTGCTCCTGACACTTCCCCTGGGGCTCCCTGGCCCTGACCACCGGCGCCCCTTCTGGGAATCCTCTGATTCGCTGGAAAGACTCATGGAATCCCTTGAGTCATTGTCATCCTCTTCCTCGCTGGCTTGGAATTCCTCCCCTCGCTCTCCATCTCCTGCCTACCCTGTGCCTCTCTCTCTGACCCCCTGACATCCATCGCCCTCGGCCCCCGTCCCTCCCGCTGCTCGCGGGCGCAGGTTCCGGGGCTTCGTTGTGGCGGGGGTAGAGGCGGGATACAGTTCGTCGCCGTCGATCGCCTCTGCTTCCAGGTCCGTGTAGGGAGTGCTCGAAGGGCAGGGGGTCCACTCCCCAGCACCCTCCAGGCCCTTCCCTCCCCTGTTACTGCAGGCGAGCTGCTTGCCAAGGCCCCCTTCGCCACCCCACTTCCTGGTTGATCGTCCCGCAGCCAATAGAGCGGTCCGTGTCCACCCCCGGGCCACGATCCCCTTGGGGGCTCGGTGCAGCGTGGTCTCTGCGGCCTGAGGTGGCTGCCAAACTCCGTGAGCTGTGCAAAAATTTTTGCGGTTTTTTGTTCTGAAGGGGACTTACTGTCAAGGCTGCCTCAAGTCTTAGCTCACAAAAGACCAACGCCTACGTCTTCTTGTATACAAAGGTGTTTATTGCAGTTCATGGTTTGCTTGACATCCTAGGCGCGCAGCCTTACGTCTCTTACGCTAGACCGCCGAAGTCCCCTCTGAGTCAGTCCCTCCTCTGCACCAATTTAAGAGACTTGCGCTGCTCCACCTCTTTCTCTCCTTCCTTTTCCGCAGGTCCTTCTGCCCCCTGGGGTTGCGCCCCTTCTGGATTCCTCTGACGCTGAATCCCCAGACTGCTCTTCCCCCCTCCTGCGGGCTTTGGGACCTGGCCCCTCCTCCGGGCTCCCTGCACTTCCGCGCGCCTCTACATTTGAACTAGGCGCGCGCGCCAAACCTCTAACTTTCCTTCTGACAGTTACACTACTCCCTTCACTGCTCCCCTCCCCTTCCGGGAGGGCGGCTTGCTCTGACCCCCCTCCTTTCTCTGCTGCTGGAGCTGCTTCCTCTGACACACTGGAAACTCCACCCCCTTCGCTGCACTTTGGTGGGGAGGCTGGTCCTGACGCCCAGCTGCCACTTTGGGATCCTCCGCTGGCACCCTGCTCCTGACACTTCCCCCCTGGGGCTCCCATGTCCGTTCCCTGGGGCGCCCCCTTCTGGGAATCCTCTGATTCGCTGGAAAGACTCATGGAATCCCTTGAGTCATTGTCATCCTCTTCCTCGCTGGCTGGAATTCCTCCCCCTCGCTCTCCATCTCCTGCCTACCCTGTGCCTCTCTCTCTGAACCCCTGACATCCATCCCCCCCTCGAAGCCCCCCCTTCCCCCCTCCCGCTGCTCGGGCGCAGGTTCCGGGAGCTTCGGTGTAGCGGGGGTAGATGCTGGATGCAGTCTGCCGACGCCAATCTCCTCTGCTTCCAGTTCAGTGTAGGGAGTGCTCAAGGGCTAGGGGGTCCACTCCCCAACACCCTCCAAACCCTTCCCTCCCCTGTTACTGCAGGCGAAGCTGCTTGCCAAGGCCCCCTTCGCCACCCCACTTCCTGGTTGTGAGCTGTGCAAAAAATTTTTGCGGTTTTTTGTTTTGGAGAGGGGACTTACTGTCAAGGCTGCCTCAAGTCTTAGCTCACAAAAGACCAACGCCTACGTCTTCTTGTATACAAAGGTGTTTATTGCAGTTCATGGTTTGCTTGACATCCTAGGCGCGCAGCCTTACGTCTCTTACGCTAGACCGCCGAAGTCCCCTCTGAGTCAGTCCCTCCTCTGCACCAATTTAAGAGACTTGCGCTGCTCCACCTCTTTCTCTCCTTCCTTTTCCGCAGGGTCCTTCTGCCCCCTGGGGTTGCGCCCCTTCTGGATTCCTCTGACGCTGAATCCCCAGACTGCTCTTCCCCCCTCCTGCGGGCTTTGGGACCTGGCCCCTCCTCCGGACTCCCTGCACTTCCGCGCGCCTCTACATTTGAACTAGGCGCGCGCGCCAAACCTCTAACTTTCCTTTTGACAGTTACACTACTCCCTTCACTGCTCCCCTCCCCTTCCGGGAGGGCGGCTTGCTCTGACCCCCCTCCTTTCTCTGCTGCTGGAGCTGCTTCCTCTGACACACTGGAAACTCCACCCCCTTCACTGCACTTTGGTGGGGAGGCTGGTCCTGACGCCCAGCTGCCACTTTGGGATCCTCCGCTGGCACCCTGCTCCTGACACTTCCCCTGGGGCTCCCCTGGCCCTGACCACCGGCGCCCCCTTCTGGGAATCCTCTGATTCGCTGGAAAGACTCATGGAATCCCTTGAGTCATTGTCATCCTCTTCCTCGCTGGCTTGGAATTCCTCCCCCTCGCTCTCCATCTCCTGCCTACCCTGTGCCTCTCTCTCTGAACCCCTGACAACCGTCTTTTCGCTTCCATATGCGTAGAAAGACGACGAATAAGCTTTGACTGGGCTTATTTTAATTCGCATGGTGTTTTTGGGTGTGCACCAGAATCACAACCAACCAAAGCAAAAGGTATTTGGGGTACCATATATATAAAAAGAAGATGATAAAGCTCTGATTGGGCTTGTTTCAAATTGGAGTTTTTGGGGTTAGAATGCACATTCACCCAAAAATCGCAGAGTGAAATGTTTGTTATCAGCCCAAATAAAGCATAGGTGTTTTGGTTCCATCTCAATAGAAAGAAGACGAATAAGCTTGGATTGTTCTTTCGGTGTTCATTCACC